AGGCATAAAACAGGTAAAAAAAATTGTAATAATCAAATTTTAAACATTACTGTACACCAGTCATGTAAAATTTCTGTCATATGCTTTAGGTAAAATTGTAAGCAAATAGATATGAACATCATCCAAACTTCAAATTATACAAACGCTGTTATTGCACAATTATGATAATGATTTCAGATAATACTTAATTTGTATTTTTTTTAAATATATACTGCATTTCATGTATGATGGAAAATATAGATAGCTTATAAGATCGCAGGTAAATGACTTCTGTATATGCATTTAGTAAAGTGAAATACATGTACTACAATTTACATTAAAAAAAATCGTCTATTTCTCACTCGATTTTTCTCAATGATAAATAAAATTATCAGTATTAAACAGAGTAGAATATCCACATAAAGATGTGGATAACACCACAAATTTTATCACGTATTTCTAACTCTGATAACTATGTTTTAGCAAACATCACAACTAGCAAGCAAAGGAAATTAAAAGGACACAAGAATGTTTGCTATAAATCATATCTACATTCTAGAGTCAATGAATTCAGATGTCAAAAATGAAGACCTCACTACTTTCGTTGACACGGATTCCGACAGATCCTTCGAGAAAGAAATGAATTCTGGTATTATGGAGGCAGATGAACTTACCTCCCCAAGTATGGATATGGATTATCGTTATCAAGGTAAAATCCAACATATATTTCAGCATTATTTCCATCCTAAAATATTGAAATTTTAATGATTGAGTTTGTTAAGTGTTAATGTTTTCTTTCCATTGTGAATATTCTTTTATGTTAATTTAATTTTACTGATTATTTTTTTTTCATTTTCTTAAGCATATTCGTTTACTGAATAATAATACTAACTTGGGTATACAATAGCGCACTATATAGTGGTGATACCTAGAAATAAATCCAATGAAGGACACTCTTGTATTACCAAAACACAAAGGAAACTCATGGGGTATTTCTTCAATATCTTCGATGATGTACTGCATTGGGAAATTTTCGCTCCACTTAAAGCTTTGCCTGTCTTAATAGATCTTTTGTTGTTGAATTACGTAAAGAAAAATCAACAGAATATGTTCTAAACATTGCTGACGGTCCAGACATCATGTAGTGTCCATTATCAAAAGTTGTCATGGTTTGCTTGAGAACGAATTCTATCTGATTTAGACTTTTTCAGCTTTCCTTATACTCTTCAGTCTTTATCACGTCAATACTATCCTCATTCTTTTTGCATGGGATCTTATGGTTGGGCTAGTGTTGTTTTTGGCATGCTTTTGAGCATTAGCTGACAGCCAAGGAACGCCCATACCTCTTGAGTTGTTCTACTGTATAATAACTGTATGGCTTTTCACTAAGAAAATGGAATAAATTATGTTCATCGCTTATCACTGTCTCTCCGACATTCTTCAGCTTTCCACAGTTTTATGGTTCGTTTAAGTCTTTCTCTCGACAGTCTCTGCTGCAATAGTACACCATAAGGCATTTTCTACATTTCTCCATTCCTTCTTTTTGAATTCCGCAGTTGTTGCATTTATTTTCCATTTTGTCCTAAAACAAATTATTATGCATTTCACATCTTAAACAGTTTTTATTTCATTCATGATATTACGGTCCGTCCCGATCTCTTTTAAACATTGAATTTTATTGAAAATGGACAATAAGATAATCAGGTTCTGGTGTATCTTTCATCTATAGTCTTTATTCTATAGATATTCTTTAGATTGATTGATTGATTGTATTTTGCTTTACGTCCCCTTCAAGAATTTTTCACTCAGATGAGGCGTCACCATATATACTGGTGAAGGGCTTCAAAATAATACCTTTACTCGACACTAAGAGCTATTACGGAGTGAGGTTCTTTATCATGCCAACGCCTACCGCGACACAGGACCTCGGTTTTTAAGGTCTCATCCAAAAGTCCAGTGACCGGGAGCTTGATGAAGGAACAGTCATTATCTATCTTTACGTCTTAGGTTTGATGTGGCGCCGGGAACGAGAATTGAACCCGGTACCTCCCGATCAAGAAGCGATCGCCCTTCCACTAGGCTAGCGTGACCAGAATATATTTTTTCAAATAGTGTTTAGAGGCTTACTCACTGAGGAAAATGTATTGTTGACTCTGGCTTGTTGTTCATTTGCCTTAGATTTGAACCACTGGTCATCTTACTAAAACAGACAAGAAAATTAACCAAATTGTTTGAAAAATGATATTTTTTTGAGAAAACAAAGTTGTACCTATGATTGGATCTATTTTGTATCCATTTATCTGCCGTACCTAGGATTGAACAATAAAATTGCGGTGTCCTTGTTATTATGTAAAAAAGCCGTGCAATTAATTAATTTTTATCCATATACATGTATTGCATGCATCATGAAGTTGACATAACTACATTTATTTGAATTTTTTTCATTAGTATATAGAATGACCTGATGCGTCCTCGTAAATTTTAGTAAATAACAGATCAAAATACATAGTGGTAAGGCTATGGCTGCAATCTGTTTGAACACATATTTTATCCCTTCAACAAACATCTCAGCAGGTGCATCAAGAATATAATTGGCTGATATGAATTAAAGTATAAAAGGTGAGGTAGTGACGATTATTTTCATAAGATTTGCCATAACGAAGGTCTTTTGTTTTTATCTTTTTAGGGACTTAGTGCATTTCAATGCAAGATAAAAAGAGGGGAATTCCTAATCACTGAGCCTGGTCAGCTCCGGGGTTTCTGTTTTGGTAGAGTTTTTTAAACTCCTTTTATACTGATTTTCTTAGATAAATCATTGGGTTATACATGTACATGTATCTTAAAAGACCAGCAAATGAAAAATAACTAAAGCATATTCTTTGTTTGTTTGTTTTTATATTTGTTTTGTTTGCTTTTCTTATCGTTATTATTTTTTTCTGTTTGTTATGTTCATCCCTGTTCAGATCACCAGAGGCCATTATTTAATCATAGTTTAGCTTTCACTTTGTGATAGCTACTATTCCTTGTCTTGAAGTCATCCAACATTGTTCTTTACCAAATTTGTAATTTCCTCACGAAAGTTTGATGGCATATTGTATACCTATATATAGAGTCAAATTGATTTGGATTTGACGATTATATACATGTATTACAAGACTTTCGATTCCTTTGAAGAGAGTATGTAGATGATCTGTCCTATTTAACTCAACATTAAATTTTAATTTTTACCCAAACATAACCTTTGTCAGAATTTGTAAATTAAAAATGATTGCTTTTGCACCTGATACCACCTCTGTTTTGCTCACATTTTTTAGATTAAATGGACTTGTGAGTATGTTCACTCTTCGTTACATGTATCTTCACATTTCATAGAAAACATTTTACGTACTTAAGTTTTTCCCACAGTGTCTCCCTTAAAAACAACATATTTAATGTATTTGTTGGTTAGGGGGTTCCAGGTTTGCATAATTGACGTTTTTTTTTATTGTTTTTAAATACATATATATACATAAGTTTATACAAAATTATATCACTCATCTGGAAGATGATTTTGACAACGCAGTGATACATATTCTGCATTTTGCGTTATTTTTCTATCTATTTCTTATGAAAGAGTTGTAAAATCATATTTCATATGAGTAATATAATTGCATGTAGTTATGTAAAACTGAATGTTAAACAATAATATTGTCTCTCGACCTAGAATGAATGGAGATCGAAATATCTGTCTATTTTAACCTTTTGTAGATTTGGTTTATAATATATGTAACCATATATATCTAAGTATTGTTTGTTTTTCTATTGAGTTTTTTAATACGAGAGTTGTCCATAAAGTTTGTAGACAAATGCTCCAATTTTCTTACTAATGCCTTTATTATAATATATCAATGCAGGCCATGGTTTATTATTTGTATAAAAATTAAACCAATACACACAATTTCATGAACGTTCTAGTGCATGCAAGCCACACTACCCAGTATGACGTATAGTAACAACATATAATGACTGAGGAAACATCATCACAACATGATTGTTATCCACAAAAGACAGTTGATCCTGTCATAACCTTTATGTATGTAATTTCATTATACTTGCTAAATACACTTAAATACCGACCTCCTTCTTTCTGTCTAAATATCCCCAATTGCGTTGAAACTGTGAAGTGTTCATAGGAAACTTAACAGATTTACGCGATGCTAGACAAAAATGTAACTGTAGACATTCACTGGTTAGATTCAAGAAAACTTATTGAGTATGTTAATTGTTTCAAACACATTTCATTCGGTAAAAATTAATTTCGAATGAAAACAGGAAAGCCCCCCCCCCCCTCTTTTTGATTTTTCTTATTGGAAATAGTAAATTATTCCGAAATTTAAAAGAAATAAAATTTTATTCGAGAAATTACTCCCATGATGTAGCTAAATCCTTTATATTCACTATAAGAGTTCTATGTACCATAAAAATAAATCTTGATAAACTGCCATTTCATATTATTTAGTTTTGTTTTGGAACTCGACAATCTTAACGAAAAAAAAAATATTTCAGACAAATAAATGAATTTTAAAGGGAAGAATTAATTTCCTTCAATTTTAGCCATTTTTTTCCTGCAACGACACCTGACTTGTTTTGAATTTATAAACTTTAGAGAATTTCAGTACTCTTAAATACCCCTCATATTTCATGAATTTTCTGCTTTAAGTTTTTTAAATTTTTTCCTCCATAATTTTTCATTCATTTTTAGAAGATTCCGATCAAAAAGGACCCTTTGGGTTTTACTATAATGACTTCCCGTAATTAATTTAAAATATTTGTACTCATTAAAATGCAAGTCATTTATTATTTTCTGTTTTAGATAAGAAAAGCCTCGCCCATCATTAACCAAAATATCATATTTATCATTAATGTGCATGCTTCGCAATCATTCATTCCAGAGAACGCAATTGTTATTGTGGACTAAAAATTCTGTGATAAATATTTCGAATAGCAGCCTATTTGAATTCAGGGATAGGAGCTTATTTGTCCTCAAATAGATCCTATTTCTTGATGTAATTTTTATGTCTGTCTGGCATTAATTATTGCCTTGATTTGGAATCCCCAAATGGTGGGCCCTGGACACAGATGCTCATCTGCTTGAACAGTAAGTACAAGAAAATTATTCAATTAGAAATCATCGCAGCTACTACTTTCACAGCCTCTCTGAAGAAGGAAGATCTCCCGAGATCCCGTGCTTTAAATAGGTTGGGAATACAGGAACTTGGGAGATTACATATTTATCGCTTACTTCAGCTTTACTCATAAAATCTTAATTTCATTGCGCACGGTTAAACATTTCTAACTTTTTGCGGAAAATTGATGTTTCTGTGCTTGATGTCATAGGTTGTGATGATCCAGTTTGGCTAATATCACAAGAACGCTCGAGATTTGGATTATATGGAAAAATAGTGTACATTTTGCTAATTAGCATTGCGGCCATATTGTATTTAATATGGCTGATTTCTGTTCACTGCATTATATAAGAAAATCAGAAAGATAGAGACTAAAAATATCAAAATTTCTTCCTCATATGGTTTTATTTTTTATTGTGTCCTGGATCGGAATGCACTCTTTTGACAAAATGATGAAAAGTTGATTTAAAAATCTGAAGCGAAGCTTCATTACTTTGATATGCAAAACTATAGTGAAAGAGCTGGGAACGCTTTTGTCAAGTTAATTTTGAAATATTTGCCGTTTTCTGACAGTTCTCCTTCATATAACGTGAAGGTGTGAAAGTTGTACTTTCAGTTTCAAAAGATAAATCATTAATTAGTTAAAATGTTAAGGTGGTTCCTTTTGAACTTAAAAATTACATTTAGGCCAGAATTTAGACAAAATAAATGAGCCTCCGAGTTGGGAAATACAGTTGTTTTACTCCTGAGAAAATATTACACTTTATAGTTGACATGACATGATGAAAATAAATGATTCAAAAAAAGAACATTTAAATTAAATTGCGAGGAGTATTAGATATATGACAATAACAATGAATATTAATTAGTGATGGTCACGTGATCATTAAATCATGAATAAAGTGTACAGAATTTCTCCATATGTGACACTAATACATGGTCAGGACCTGAAAAATACCCAAATATAGAGAAAGCAGCGTAATGCCACTTTGATGAATTGATATAACCTTGAGTGGTTTAATCAAAATAGTTCATGCAAATTAAGCCCTTTCCAATTATAAAGTCACTGTATGTGGTACACCATTAATGTCCTTCATGGTTCAATAAACTTTTATTCATTTTGCTATCACTAATAAGTTCACTATTAATAACGAAAGTGATTATGATAAGTATAATCCAAGTTAAAAATATTCAAATGAAATGCCCATTCTAAAACCTATAGGTTAATACTCATTGTATGGTTTGACTTGGTCTGTCGATTGTCTCTTAATTCAGTCCCGCAGGATCTGCTACATTATAGGCCCTGTGGCCAGTAATTGTGCTTCTATCATTGTGTCATTGTTAGTGAACGTTCTATATCTTAAAATATTGGTAAAGGCGATGTAGACCATTGTGTATGAACTCATTGATAATCATTTATCTTTGCGTTAAATATGAAGGTAACGAAAAAATACTGTAATTAATTTCCAAAGTCCATAGAAACAATACAAATTTGGAACAGGGCAAATACGGACCTCTAAAAACCAGGTGGGATCAGATACCATGGAGGTGTAAGCGTCCCCTATCGACCGGTCACACCCGCCGTGTGCCATTGTCATGATCAAGCGAACGGAAAAATCCGTAGACAGTTCGGTGTTTAAGGGGACGAAGGACACATGGTCACATGACTCTGTTTAACTACGTCATAGTCTCTGTTTATATAAGTGCAAAACGTGTAAAGCATCAGTTCTTGTATAATTTTTTGACAAATTTTTGAACTTTAATTACCATCTTATATAAAAAATTTAAAAAGTTTTAACATTCTTGTAGACATTAACAAAATAAAAAAAAGATTGATCCACTCCTCGGTTTCCCTAAACTGCGCGTCCAACAAGTCGGTGACGTCATACACACGATCTGTTAGTACAGCAAGATCATACTCGGTGAACACAGGGGCGGTATTATTATGTAAAAACAGGTCATAATCAGTATATGATGAAATATTTTGAGAAACGGGGAACACAAAAATTTTTTTTGCATGGCTGATGACGGAAATCTTATGGAGGAATATCTTATTTCGTTATTTAGCTTACGTGTGACGTCATAGTTGGTGTTTCCCGTTCTCGAGAAATGTAACATGACACGTTTTTGTCATGCTTATGTCCTCTTTAACGATGTCCTGTGAAATAATGAGGTCAGCTTCATCATTCGAAATTTTTACAGTTAATCAATTATTTAAAGGATTTGCATTTCAACGTAAATTAAAAAATATTGAATGATAGAATTTTTTGTGAATTACGCTTTTTATTGTTTAAGTTGTCTTAAAAAGTGCGTAATTTTCCCTATCTAGATGCAGTGTAATAGACAAAACTTGCTTTTTCGAATTTTAAATCCTAGTTATACTCTATAATATTTTAAAAGATACATGTCCACTTCGATATTTTTATATATGATTAAAAAATCCCATTATGGAAGAGTAATGAGCCCGGAAACATGGAGAATTAAAACTCCACTGAGATACTGTAGGGCATAATATTTGTCAATCAATATCTCGAAAATAAGGTAAGAAACCTAATGATATAACTGCTTTAAGATACGTGGGACATACGAGGGTTGTCCGTAAAGTTCGTGGACAACATTTATAATTACTGACAAACATTGATAAAATACATGAAATTATTATTTTCATTAAATTCGTGTTTCAGTTTATTAATATCCAAGTTTTAATTACAAACAAAGCACAAAAAGTTATATTTTATCAGATACAAGAAAAGATACACACTCATACCCGGAGCACTAAAACAAAAATCCGTGACGTTACTCGACGTCAAAAGCTAAATACATTTAATTTTTCTTAACGTAGTCACCGTTTAACTCAACACATGTCTTATGTCGCTTCAACCAGTTATCAAAAATGTGCACAAACTGTTCTGATTTCTTACAGGAAATAATATTTAACACTTCCTGTCTCAGATCCTGCAAATCATAAAACCTCTCTCCAGGTAAAACGACTTTATGTACGGAAATACGGCAAAGTCACGTTACGAACTTCATTTTTACAGCACTACAACCTCGGAAAGATGGTCTTCCTTCACGCATGTCATCTAATAAACTGTCTCTTCGGTCCGAATATCTTCTGTGCCACTTAAACACTGAAGAATAGATTACTTTACCATGATTTCCCGACTGTTTAAGGAACTTATGAATCTCTGTTGGTGTTTTTCCGATGTACTACACAAAATTTTTTCACTACTCTCTGCTCCACCTTTTCCGAAAACGTCCCTATTTCGAACAATGACGATCCTGTCTTAATAAACTCTGACCTCGATTTCTCTGCCATTTCGAAACTTTGAACGTTCAAATTTTACAAGTTTGACGTTATAACTTTTATCAACCTTATAATGTAAAAGCCATCCAAATTTCCGCGGAATTTTACAAAATACAAATGAAATGTATAAAGTGATAAATAACTTTTTAATTAAAACGTTGGTGTGCTCCGGGTCACCATCCCAAGTCTAATAATGGAGTCATAATTGTAATTATACACTTAAAATTGAATGAAAATTTTTATTTTGTAATTCTCATACAGTAAAGGATTATAAATATGCTAATAATAAATATCTATGACGCAACTTTTATTTAGCTTGTCCACGAACTTTACGGACAACCCTCGTACTTAATTAGAAATATACAAAATATGAAAAAAATTAAATGACAAGTATTTTTTCAGCTCAAGGCCCTTCTCCTCCTTAAATAATGACCTAACAATAAGTATGAAAAACGTCAGTCAGCACGCAGCTAGGTTAAGGACTCCCATATATACGTCAGCCTATGCAGAGGTTCGGGAAAGCTATTATGACGTCACGTTAAAACAATACAAATGAATCTCGACGAATAAATACTATAAGTTCTTTTTAAAACACACTAAATACTTTCGTGTCTCATTAATATTATAATAATAAATAGATATGCAACTTATCGTGCCATAATAGCACTTAGCGTATGTAGAATGAAAGCCAGCTTGATCTTGCTGTAATTACTGAGATGACGTCATTTCTTAATTTGACACGCAGTTTCTCTGTATTTCAGGCGTGGATCAAGCTTTTATCGTAGCTTGTAAAAATAAATACGAAACACATGTAGTCAGACCAAATGAGAGACATGTTCTGAAATATATTAATCCATATTTTATTGTCAAACTTAATTGATAATGTGTAGCCTTTATATAAAGTCGTAAGGAACACATTTGTACAGTAACGTGCTAGAATGACAGGTCCAACCCCTTGAAAATATCAAAAGTTCAATGATATCCGCTTCACTATAAATTTTGAATTTTTAAACACGTGTAGCTATTATTCCTACTATCCTGAAAAGTGCTGGGAGCTGGTTGTGCATCGTTTATTTATTTCGTAATGTAGCATTATTAAAATGCGTATAATTACATTTTTGTCTGGAGTTTATAGAAAGAATGCTAAATTTTAAGAGTCATTCTCTGTAAGCATCAAAATGGGCTGGAAATTGACTCTCGCCGATTTTGTTTAAATTTGGTGACATAATTACACTATAAGCCCATTTTACACAAAAAGTATTGAAAATGATCAATTGGCATTGTTTCCATGGCAACAGGTCACCCATTTTTGCACAAATGTGGGAAATAGCAACAAAAGACATTACACCCTAATATATATTTAATGAATATAAATAACTATTATTAATTTTTGTCTTAAAAATTATTTGTAAATTGTATTTTGTATACAAGAAAACTAAAAAAAAAAGTTTGGACCTACCAGGAAATGCAAAGTAATGGTGTACCCAAAATACGCAGGCACTGCTTGAATATTTTGATGCTCCTAATTTTACCCTAAACAATTATTAGGAACATATCAAAAAATTGGAGTGATAATATTTGATTTAAGAAAATAAATCAATTATAAGGTTTGAAAAAATCTCTGAAATTACATACTTTTTCACCAAGAGTTGTTTCCCCTTTCGG